GGACCCGAAACGTTAACTCTGATTTTTTTCTTCACAGATGCTGCCAGACCTGCTGAGCTTTTCCAGCAACTTCTGTTTTTGTTCCTGGTAGAGGTTGTGGGTTTGGAAGGTGATGTCGAAGGAGGTTTGCAAGTTGCTGTTTTGCATCATGGAGCGGGCACACATTCCTATCTATGTGCTGATGATGGAAGGAGTGAAACCCTCAATCTAACATTACCGTTAAACGGTTCAGAAAAGATTTACAAAGATGTTGCCAGGGTTGGAGGATTTGAGCTATAGGGAGAGGCAGAATAGCATGAGGCTGTGCTTCCTGGAGTATCAGACGCTCAGGGGTGACCTTATAGAGCTTTATAAGGAGCTTGGATAAAGTGAATAGCCAAAGTTTTTTTCCAGCGATGGGGGGAGTCCAAAATCAGACAGCATAGGTTTAAGGTGAGAGGGGAAAGATTTAAAATGGACCTAAAATTGATTGATTTGATTTATTGTCACATGTACCTAAATACAGTGAAAAGTTTTGTTTACAAACAGTACAGGCAGATCATATTAAGCAAGGACATACAGATCATAGGGTGAAAAAAGAAACTTGGACAGAGTACATGGCACAGGAGGAGATAATGGTGTTGAAGTTGGAGCTGCAGCCAATGAGCAGGAGTCTAACGGCGCTGTCCTTGTTGTCCAGATATTCAGTGGATGAGTGCAGGGCCAGGGAAATGGCATCTGATGCAGGGGTTTGAGGCACGCTGAGACACGAGAGTTGATGTGGGCCATGACCAGCCTTGCGAAGCACTTCATGCTTACAGAGGTTAGAGCCATTAGGCGGTAGTCATTAAGGCACGTTGCATGTGCTTTCTTAGGTACTTGGATGATGGTGATCTTCTTGAAGCAGGTGGGGTCTTCAGCTTGTAGGAGGGAGAGGTTGAAGATGTTGGTGAATACCTCCGCCAGCATGGGATCTAAGCGCATGGATGGGGACTCTGGCCAGGGCCATTGCTTTCCTTGGGTTGGCTCCCAGGAAGGCATCTGCAGCGGTGATGGAGGGAACAGGTGTGTCCGGGGGTGTTGGGGCCAGGTGATGCCATGCCGGTGGTATTCTGCTCGAACCGACCATAGAAAGGATTGAGTGCATCAGGGAGGGATGTGTCTTTGTCTGCTATTGTGCTCTGCTTCGCTTTGTATCCTGTAATGATGTTTAGGCCTTGCCATAGGCAACAGGAGTCTGTATGGTTGGTTTGAGCCTCTAACTTGGCCCAGTACCGCCTCTTGGCATCTCTAATGGCTTTACGGAGATCATATCTGGATTTACTGTATAGGTCTGGGTTGTCCGACTTGAATGCTGCATGCCTGGTCTTCAGTAGGGAGTGGATTTTCTGGTTCATCCAAGGTTTCTGTTGGGGATCACCTGGATTGACTTCTTTGACACACAGTCCTCTACACATTTGCTAATGAAGTCTGTGACTGTGGTGGCGTACTGGTCTAGGTTTACCGCTGTGTACTTGAATATGGTTCAGTACACTGAGTCCAAGCAGTCCCAGAGACAGGGTCTTCTGCTGCCTCAGACCAGCATTGTACTTCTTTCTGTGAAGGATCCCTCCGTTTCAAGTTCTGCTTATAGGTTGGGAGGGGCAACTTTTTCACACAGAGGGTGGTGCATGAATGGAACGAGCTGCCAGTGGAAGTGGTGCAGGCTGGTACAATTACAACATCTAAAAGGCATCTGGATGGGTATATGAATAGGAGGGATTTCGAGGGATAGGGGCCAAATGTGGGCAAATGGGACCAGATTAATTTGGGATACCTGGTCGGCATGGATGAGTTGGACTGAAGGGTCTGTTTCCTTGCTATATGACTCTGTGACTCTATGAGATCAACCCTCATTCAATGAGATCTTGTCAAGAGCAATACCAGGCATACCTGAAAGAAGAGATATCCACACAACGAGGCAATTACACAGCCCTATACGTATATAAACAGTGGAAGCAGCATGCCTTTGAAAAAAAACCTTGGACTTGTTCTCTGAGATGCTTCATTGAGTGAGGGTTGATCTCCTAGCTTGGTGGTAGTAGTAGATTGAGGGTTTCACTCCTTCTATCATCAGCACAAGGTGTGCCAGCTGCAAGATACAATGACAGCAACTTGCAAGTGATTGGGAAGGCAAATGGGATGTTATGACCCCACAAAAAGCAGGTCATAAGAAAATTCTGTAGTCCCGTCACATCCAATCATGTATGACGGTTGTTAATTAGGCAAGGAATCTGAGGAGTCAGTTCCAGGCATGTTCCCATAGTCAATGATGGCAGAGACCAGCACACAAGGACAAAAGATGAGCTGAAAGATGTGCAATCATCTTCATCCAGAAGTGAATGATCACGGTCACTTGGGGAGGCAATGGCCTAGTGGTATTATTGCTGGACTGTTAATCCAGAGACCTGGATAGTATTCCGGGGACCCAGGTTCGTAATCCTGCCACGGCAGATGGTGGAATTTGAATTCAATAAAAAATATCTGAAATTAAGAGTCTAATGATGACCGTGAATCCATTGTCAATTGTTGGAAAGACCTACCTGGTTCAATAGGGAAGGAAACTGCCATCCTTACCTGGTCTGGCCTACACGTGACTCCGGACCCACAGCAATGTGGTTGACTCTGAACTGCCCTCTGGGCAATTAGGGATGGGCAATAAATGCTGCCTCACCAGCGACGCCCTCATCCCGTTAAAGAATAAAGGATTTGCATACCTTTCTGACGACAGTCTGTATCACCATTCCATTACCATCTTATAATGTGCAGTTTTGATCTCCTTACTTAAGAAAGAATATAAATGCAGTAGAAGAAGTTCAAAACAAAACAAGTCCTGTTGACTGATGTTTAAGATATGGAGATTCCCTCATGAGGGAAGGTTGGACGGTTTGGATCTTTATCCATTGAAGCTTTGAAGGATCTGAGGGCTTTTTAATTGAGACAGACAAGATCCTGAGAGGACTGAGCAGGGTCGAGAAATAGTAGAAATAGGGGCCTCAGTTTAAAAACAAGGGGTCCTCCATTCAAGTTAGAGATGAGGAGAATGTTGTTCACTCAGAGCATCATAAGTCTTTTGAATATTCTTCCACAGGGAGTTTTGGAGGTAGATTCATTAAATGTTTTTAGGTTAGAGATGGATAGACTCTGAGGAGTAAGTGGGAACATATAGTTGAGGCCAATATCAGATCAGCAATAATCTTATTGAATGGTAGAGCAGGCTCAAGTGTTGAATGGCCTGTTAATTTGTATGTAGTCTGATCTGTTCATTACTGATGCCAGCCTTCAGTTAATTCAACTTGAAATATTCAATTTGTGCAGAGTAGATTTAGTATCAAGCTCTGGCGAACTCCCAAGTACAGTGCTTAAGATTTATACTCCACTATGGGACATGCCTCCAGCCAAGTTATTCCAATACAGGCTCCTAATGATGTAGAAAAGTAACCAGGTACCATCCACAAATGATGGCCATATTCAATATGAACCATTTATACCCCATCAGTCTGCTCTCAGTGAAGGTGTCAATCAAGTGACATGTGATCAAGTCAAAAATGCTCAGCAATATCTTGTTCACTGATGTCCTTTTCATATCCTATGCTGTTGCAGAAATATTGCACCCCTTTGTCTGGTTGTAGAGAGGAGAGCTGAAGGTCAGGGTGAGGTCAGAGTGATTTCCCTTGATATCAATGCACATTTGATAGAATGTGGCACCAAGAAGGGCTCAAAAAGAAATCAAACTAATTCTGGAGTTATACATTCCAAAAAGGAAGATCTTGATGAAGCCAATCAATTCAGTCCCAACATATCATAGCAGGAGTTTCTCAGAGGAACCATCTTCAACTGCTTCATAAATGACAAACTATATCTTCACAAAGTCAAAAGTGAAGATGATCGCTGATGATTGTTTTGTGTTCAATACCATTGCCAACTCCTTAAAGAATGAGGCAACGTGAGCCAACAAAACCAAGGCTTCAGCAAAGTGAGGCTAAGAAATAAATGGACCACTCAATGACCATCTCCAACAAATGAATCTAACCACATTCATTTCATATTCAATAGCATTACCATTGCCCCGCTATCTACAACAGGGTCATAGTTGACCGGAAACCAAAGCAGAAAAACTATGTAAATCTGTGGCTTTTTAAAAATTCAATTCACAATAAACGGGTGTCACTTGCTAGGCCAGTACTTATGGTCCTTC